TATTTGCCCTCATCTGCTTCCTTTATCATGCTTGGATAGTAGAAATCCTGGATCTTTTCAAACCTTTCTATTTTGATATATGTAGATTTTAAAATAAACCCTTTTATTTTCCTGTCATCATTAAAGTCCTAGCTATTACATATATTTCCAGTGTATAGTTAACATGTTTCCAGGTGAAAGATCTGAGTGTGTATTCATGTGTCTGTATGTATCTGTGTATGTATGAGTATGTATGTATATATAACAATTGAATGTATTTTTATAAAAAGTTTATATATATAAACTCTGTGTGTGTGTGCGTGTGTGTGGTGGTTTGACAGTTAAATATAAGTGGTTTTCTCTAACCACTGATTACCAACTCTGACAATGTCAACAGAGGATTGACGAAAGCTAAGTTGTATTTATTAAAAAGTTTTTTCTCTCCCAGAGTTTAGTGGCTCTATTGTAATCTTTAACCATGATGGCTCAAGTCTATCTCTTAGCCCAATTTGCTGTTCTTCCACCAAAAATTGGATTTCCTAATACCTAACCCTTTAACTCCTGGAGGAAGGGTAAGATAAGATTCTCATAAATAAATAAAACAATACATGTTCTTCCAAACTAGTCTACTATTAAAAATATGCAACAATGCAATATCTAATCTAAAAAATATATGAAATTTTTTGTTCATATATGAAATTTTTTTTCATATATGAAAAAATGGTCTGAAGGTCTAAAACAAATAGAAGAAACCTTATACTTAGTGATACTACAAAATACATTTAACAATTAAAAGAATTTAAAAATGACTAACTGAACTTTTCTCACAAAAGTAGATTGAATGCTATCTCTGAGATTTGCCCAAAAAAGAAAAAAAAAAATCTCAAGTCGGGAAGTTCCACAAATAAACAAACACCATGGGAAAGTGGTTTTATTTATTTACATATTCATTTCATTTATTATAGCTGTCTGTGGCATATCTATAAACAAGGTCTCCATGGGTCAGTCCAGCATATTTAACCAACGGTTTTAATTTTCAGTATTTGCATGCTCTGTTGACTCTGTTTCCAGTGTTGTGAATGTATTTTGGTAGGGTCTTAGTGTTACCTTTTCAGAAATAAAACACTTAAAATGTCATAAGCTAGGTTACACTAATATGTAACATTAATAACAGGCAAAAATAATTGACTGTATGGGCTGAATAAAAATTACTGACATCTTTTTCTCTCATACCATTTTGTTCATGATCCCAGGTGTCCCCAATGAGTTTTTTTTGTTTTTCTAATATTTATATAGACTGTAAGGTCTAGTTATGTCATTCATCCTCATTGTTTACTTTTCACCTTTTCTCTGTTATTCTACAGGAGGAATGGGCTCCTTCCATGCTATGGTCAACTGTATGGTACATGTTGTGATGTACTTTTATTATGCACTCTCAGCTGCAGGACCTGCTTTCCAAAAGTACCTGTGGTGGAAGAAGCACATCACTGCCATTCAGCTGGTAAGTAATAAAGGGAAAAGAATAGGCAAATTATGCCAGCATCTTTAACTTTGATTAAGTTGTACAAACCAGCTTTGGTCACTTCATCTGATTCTGTTTCTTTTGAATAGCTAATTACAGAAACTTTTTAACCTAATTTGATATTTGTTGCCTATGTTGAGCTTTCCATTTTCTTCCAAGGATTACTCATCATTGCCTGTGAGTAGAAGGAGCTCCACTTGTCACCTTTACTTATTTCATCTTTGCCTTGTTTCTGTTTCTAGCTGCAGTTTGTGCTCGTCTCCGTCCACATCTCCCAGTACTACTTCATGCCTGACTGCAAATATCAGTTCCCAATCTTCATCCACCTCATCTGGATTTATGGAGTTATCTTCTTCATTCTCTTCTCCAACTTCTGGTACCAGTCATATACCAAAGGCAAGCGTCTGCCCAAGCTCATGACACCACCTCAGCAAAATGGCTTCCATGAGAATGGTGCCATTGCTAATGGCAAAGTCAAAGCCAACTAGGGGTGGGATCAAGGTGATTCAAATCAACTAGATCCCATATCTGGGCTTGTTAACCAGATCAAGTGCCTACAGACTATCTTGCAGTTCCAAACCACCTTCCCAACTGCCCTGTTTCCCTTGTTGCCTCGCTTTCACCTTTCCCCAAGGGAGACAGGCTGCCTGGGCTGTCGGTGCTGAATCCAGTCCAAGGCCTCCAAAGTGCCTATGTCTGCCCTGGGCTGGGCTCCGTTCAGAGCTGGACCAAAGCAGAACCCTTGACAGATGGGACACAATTATCCACTTAATTCAATGTACGCAATGTGATCTAGGTGGGGATTTTTGTTACTTTGCTTTCCCTAAGTTTGTGTTGTCATTTATTAATTCTCTTTATTATTTACCATTGGTGTCCTGCCATTCCTACTCCTTTCCTACTTGAATGTAAGTGGTCCCTTTTTGCTGGGGGTGGGAAATAACTCCTCTGGAGACAACTTTTCCTGCTCTGTGTGCAAATGGGGTACTACTAGGCAAGTCTTACTGCCTTGGCTGTATTCCTCTCTTGGCATTGCTCCGCAGCTTTGGTTGCTTTGATCCTAGCACCTTAGCAATAACTCTGGACTTCAATCTCCATATGGCTTGATGACTGCAAGCTCTTATTGCACTGAGGTCCAGGGAGAAGAAATAGGACCCTGTTGTCCAGCTTGTATGCCATTGCTCTGTGTGCCTTTTAAAACATTGGATCTGCTCCAAAGAACAGAGGCTCCCTATAATCTAAATTTTGGGGAGGACTTCTCAGGAGGATATATCTCTCTCCTGAATTTTCCATTTGTATTCACAGAAATAAAGGGATAGAAAGAGAATAGTCATTCTGTTCTTGATTTCAAGGCCTTGATCATTGTTGGTTGGGCCTGATGTGAGAAAAGAATGATTTTACTGTAAGTACCGTGTTAATATTGATTTTCAGTTCCAATGACTACTGCTTCTTGCAGTGAATTGGCGTCTTAGTTGAAGTTGGTTTACTAGATGAGAGGAACTGAAAAACTGAGATCAAAGTCCTGTGAAGCATTGTAATAAAGTGGTGGCTATGTTCTGGCTCATCCACAGTGCATGGTGTCAGGTGTCAGATTATTTCTGTTCAAGAACACAGGAATTGAAATTTTTTACTAGTTTTCTGGGTCTATAGAATACCTTCACTCAAAGTTCAATACAGCATTAAAGACCTTGGCTCCTGTTTGTCCTGTCTTCTATTCCAGGCAGCACAGTATTAATTTTGTTCTCCTCATATGGACACTTTTTCAGGCCAGATGCTTTCCTGTTTGTACTGGCTTAGGCTCTTGGTGTAGTTCCAACTACTGGGCATTATCCTCCTGGGCTTGAAGAGACCTGTAGTCCTTGGTGCTATTGCCTATGGTCTGGTTGAGTGTGACAAGTGGAAAAGCTACAACTACTGTGTGTGGTGTACAAAATAATTCCGTAATAGAATAAATTGGAAAAGTAATCTTAGCCAGATCTTAGATCTGTATTGCATCCTAAGTTCAGAGTGCCAAAATATGAAAGTAAGGATATATTGGCAAATATAAAAAGCTAAGGCACTAAAAATACTTTTGTTGTTAGAATAAACTTGTATTGGTCTCTCTACCTCAGTGCTAGGGGTAGACTAACCTAGAATCTAGATTATGTGCCATAAACAATGCTGTATATACTATTGGAGAGATTTGTATAACCCAGAATATTTTGATACATTCACTGGCCATTCTGAAACAAAGCAATCTTGTTTAAAAGCCTTTAAGCTAAGTTCACTGTTAGGTTGAAATAGGTTTTGTAACACTACTTACCTTCCCACCGCTGATTATCCTACTGTGTACCATTTCCCCACCTATGTCTGAGAAACCCTAAACCAATGCTAATGGCAACCTTTAAAACTGATACAATGTTTGACTGAGAAGTTTTTACAATGTAGGGGATATTTAGGGGTACAATTTGGAAAAAAGTAAAAGATACTTGTTTGTTCTCCTATATGTGTGCCTTCTCTCAACATTTTTTGCTGTACTTAATGGATCAATATTCAATGATAATCATGCAAGGGTGATGAAAAATCAGTATGTTACAGTTCCCAAATTAGGCAGTATAGCTTACCCATTCCAAAATGCTCTTTTTTGTAAACCCAAAGTAAATTTCTGTTCTAAGAATCATTGGTTTGCATGAAATCTAATGAAGAGGCCCTTATGGAGTATTTATTTTTTCAGCATTTTTACAAGTGCTGATTTTAGTACTTGTCAGATAGCATTCATGTTGCCCTAGTGTCTTTCTGATGTGGTGCATTTTTGAATAGCCATGTGCCTTCTAAATACGATGTACAGTTAACTGCTCTAAATTTTGAGTGTGATTATCTACAGTTTTCTGAATGAGTAGGTATCAGAATTGTATGTTTAGACTAGTTAATAAGGCTTCAATATAGTTTCCATTAGCTTGCTACAGGATTAGTGTTTTAGAAATTCAGGTAGTCCTTGATTTACAAATGCAATTGGGATTGATTCGTGGTCATAAGTTGTCAACGATTCTAGGTGGAGGTATTCCCTTGACTGGACCCAATTTTACATTTTTATGATCATTAAGTGAATCATCATGGTCATTATGCAAATCATTAAGTGAACACTATGGTTGTGTGAACTTGTTCCTCTGGGGAAAATGACTATGGGATCACATGACTATGGGATATTGCAGTTGGTCATAAAGTTGAGCCAGTTGCTAAGCACCCAAAATATGGTCAAGTGACTGTAAGGCTGTATATAGCATATTTTGTGATGGGCAGACAAGCTTTACAGGCCATAAAGAACTCATTCCCAGCCCATTGTATTTTCAAATAATCATAAGTCAAGGATTATCTGTGTGAAATCCAGAAGAGAACTCTATCACATATGGGAACAGAAGTGTTTACACCTCTTGGGCATAAGCAGTTTCACTTAGTTACAACTACAGATAGATTTCATAAGATGAATTGCCCTACTGATGAATTGAAGACCAACTCCTGAATCTTTATTAAAAATGTACTTTATTCGTGTAATCTGAATTATAATCTTACTGCATCTTTTTGTTATTTATTAAATTTGTACACTGCCCGACTCCCAACCGTCAAAATAGTTACACAACAGATTTTATCTGCCAAAATGGCAATTGTCTAATAATTTCTAGTCATTTTGATTACTTAATAACAGATGATTTTCATATTTTTGCATAAGCCAAGAATCTTGGAAAAACTCTAGTGTACTTGGCAAAGATGAGCTGAGGCTAATATTGGTCTTGATTAGGCTTGGATTTTTACAGCTTCCATTCAATCAGAAGGCAGTAAAATCATTTGTAGGACATTTTGGGTTACAGTTGATTTGATTGAGGCAAAAAAACAAAAAACAAAAAACCAAAACCACAGAAAGGCTAGACTCGTCCACCAGCATTTGGAATATTAGAATGCCTTGAGTATAAAAGAAGTGCAAGAAATAACAAAGGAGTGGAATGATTAACTCTCAGGATAAGCTATTCCTTAACTGCTGAGGCTGAATTCAAAGAAAATAGTTTTGGAAGAGCAATCTTAAGTATCAGCCCACATAGTTCAGTAAAATTACTGAGTTCAGCTAAGTGAATTTCCAATATCTGTTTGGTAAGGGAACAATAGTTGGCAAGACAAAATTTTTAGTTATGTATTTCCCAATAAAACAGTGTTTCTCCATAACAGGATGTTGCATTTGAGGTCGATAAACTGTCACATTCATCCTACATGGTATGTGGGTTCTGCATCTGGTGCATAGAGGCACCAGCTTCAGTTATGACTTGAAAACATACTTCAAATCCCAAATTAATAGTTCAGGAACCTAATCTGTCGAGGAAAACTAAATTGTTCCTCAAAAGCAAAGAAAAGACCAAACCTAAGACAATTTGCCTAGTGATAAAGCTGTCATGGTGATTTTGAGAAGGAACAATATATTATCGGTTGGATCAGGAGGAGAGTCTGGTCTTTATTTTCTTTCAATAGATTCAATAGTTTATTTTTATTACAGTAATATACAAGCCAAGTCCTAGCAAACAGCCAATACCAATTAAAGTAATTCACACCATTTGTGATTCATATTTCAATCCATATACCAACACTATTTCTAAAGGAGAGTGAAGTATTTATTAATAGTTTAAAATTCTGTACATAAAGCAATAGATTGGAAGGGAGTTGGATGAAACTCAGCGAATTCCTTGATGGATAATGCTGGTTTTAGTACTGCTCTCTTTCTCCTTCTTACGTGCTGGGTCCAACTCAAAGCAGCGCCAAAGCCTCAGTGTTTCATCTGCTGCTGCTGAAGCAACTGTGGTTCCATCTGGGCTCATAGTTAAGCTTAGCACCCTAGCAGTGTGACCTAAGGAAATACATTTTACAAATAATTGTAAATAATAGCTGATAATCTATTCAAATTGGCAAAGGCACTTTTTCTTTGTGGAATTGAGCAGCATAATATGTAGGTTAAATTAATCCAACTCAGGAAAAGCAATCATTTTGGCCATTGGCACATTTGAAATTTTAGGAGCAAAATAAAAATTCTCATGTGTGTACAAAAGAGCTGCTACAGTGAACACAATCAAATTTAAAACACCAATTTACCAGAAAAGAAAATAGCCCTTAGCATGCTGTGGGATGTTTGTTGGGCTCAAGGACAATTTTGTAAATATGTGTAAAGATTTGTGCTGAAGCCAGTGTTCTATAATTATATAAAAATCTTTAAAAAGTGAGACAGGGATGCCATTAGGTATTGATATTATTGGTACACATTGATGTTCATGGGCTTCATTGTACCTTCATTTATGTAACTGCAGTATTTCCACAATGGGTCTTACCTTTCAACTCCGTGACCTTTGACATAGATGGGTATTTCCACACTACCAGTTGGTTTTGAGCAAAGCCATGACCAGACACAAGTTCTTTGTAATTTGTAGACCATAATATGGCACAGACCTATTAATACCAGAAAAAGTATCCAATAAATAAAATATTGACTGGATATAACCTTATGTAGAAAAAAAATGCAGCATGTTAAATTTAGAGTGTTGAAATACTCTTTATCTTTCTTCGAAATGTATTAAGCAAACCTACCTGGGACTGTGCATCTACTGTGTTGAGGCAACTCCCAGAGCACACATTCCAGATCCTTATGTGGCGATCACTTGTTCCACCTCCTGTAGCCAGCACATTGGATTGCCATGGACTCCAAGCCACAGCCTAAGGGAAAAAGTTTACTATTGTCACCCTTCTCAGTGATTAGAAATACTGTGTTTGCAAACTACAGATATTCCTCATTTCTGACCACATTTGGGACAGGCAAACTGGGCCATTAAGCAAAGATGTTCCTAAGTGAAATTGCAATTGTGCTTATGGTCTTTCTTCAGTTTTCCTTTGTTTTACAGACCTGTGAAGGTCGTAAAGTTACTTTTTCATTACAATCATAACTACAAATGGTTGATAAATGAGGCAGTTGCAAAACAAGGACTATCTATAACTTAAGAAGCTCTATTAAAATGCTATCATTTTAATTTCTTGTCATGGTTATTTAACAAATTCTTGTGCTGTCAGAACCTGAAAGTGGCTACCATTTTGGACTTTAAAAATCACAACTCACAATCAAGATTTGTTTACTGTATTACAAATTTCAATTTCCAAGAGAACCTAAATTGCTATGGTTTGGATTCAGACCACACTGCAAGCTGTAGAACCTGGTTAGAGAGCTACCCAAATGACTATTAATTGAGCTTTATACCATATAATTTTGTACCAATAGATGTATGTCTACTATCTAAATACAGATATGTACTTACCTTAACAGCTCCCTGATGTTGTGTAAAAGTCTGCACAGGAGGTAGTGACCAGTTGTCCCCTTGAGCAATTGACCATATGTTTACAAGATTATCATTGCCTCCACTGGCCAAGTAACGGCCATCAGGTGCCCATTTTAGCCCACATACTTCTTGTGTATGACCAGCAAGTGTTGCCACATGGTGTTCTGCCACACGGACATCATGATGATGTATGTGACCAGTCCGTGATCCACTGTAAGGGAAAATTAGCATATTCTCCTATATCAAATATACCAGGCGGCCAATGTAATATATTTTATCTTCACTATGAAATGTATAAGCCACATGGCCCCTTTCCCATCAGTGCCCATGAGATCTATTGCTTAGAAATTATTACCTGGACAGGATGTAGCTATTCCAACTTAAAGAACTCACACGGGATGAATGACTGACCATATTTCGTAGACGCTTTTTCTGCTGGATGTCCCATAACTAAATCAATATAAACAGTCCAAATATCCAACCTTGTTAATTTTTATTGTCTCATGGAATACAGCCCAAGTGATAAAATGCACAAAGCTGTCCCACTTGTTATGAACATATTTCATCTATGTAGAAATGAATCAAATAATGACCGTAAGGACTATCAAAGGAAGCAGTTCATAGTTTTCCAATCCAAAATGTAACAAGCCCACATTGGTTTAAAAACCAAAGGTATCTTAGAAGTTTCCCCCAAAAGAGAATTTAACTTGCTTTAATATTAAAAGATTTTTTTATTCTTCTCTGCCCCATTGCCAGAATATTAGGTTAGCAATATGCACAGAGGTCATTAAACACAGCCTCAGTTGCCTCACCTGGACCTCAGCATTACTTGTGCCAATTGCAAGGTAATTTCCTTCTCTGATCCATGAAACAGAAGAGATGTAGTCGTCAGGGTTTTCCATTTGCATGAGCTGGATTATTTCTCTAGAATCATAATTCCATAGATAAACTGATTTATCCAGAGCCACGGCCAAAAAGTTGAGGGAGCTCCAATCAACTAAGTTCAGATCTAAATGAGAATACACACTAGTTTGGAAACATAAAGCCAAGTCAAGATACAATCCTTTCCTATCTCTCCATGGTAGCCATATACAATACAATATGGGGACATAATTCTTTCAAAGGCAGCTGTAATATAGCAGAGCAGATAGGTATCCTCTGCACTTTGGAACAAAGTCTCACTAAAATTAAACTCAAAATCTATGGCTGCTTACAGTAATCATTTCGAATATCTGGGGCATCTAGAATCCGCTCTGACACAGAGGCTATGTATCTATTTATCTTCCTTGTGGAGCCTGGTGTGCTCTTCTGACTATAAAGCACTTTGAGATTGTTCTGGTATCCTGGAAAAGAGGAAACAATTATCAGCATAAATAAAGAAAAACTCAAATGTTCCTATAATTCCAAGCTAACAGGATCAATGGAAATTTTGGGAAATAGGAGTCTCCATTTAGAGGGCACTAGCTGGATTTCTTTCAATAGAGACATCAGTCTTAACATATACAACAGATAATATATTATAGAAGACTGTAAGAGATACTGTAGAGTTTATTTTCTAGCGCAGCGAAGGATTACATTATGAGAAAGTCAAGTTTTGTTCTTTTTTAAACAAGCTGAACACAAACTAATTCAAGTTAGCAACAGTGCTGTTATTCAGAAAATGGGCTGCTTTTTCCAGTGTGGTTCTAAATAGTGACTTGAAAAAAAAGATAAAGAAGTTTGTAAAAAAGTCTATAGTTGTCAGCTTGCTAACTGAACATCTCTAGACTAATTCCCATTAAAACACAAACATAGATCAATGGAATCAATTTGAATGAACTGGATTATGGACCACTGCTGCAATACCAGTTTAGAAGCCAGCTATTATGGATAGGAGCTTTTATCCACAAGGGATGCATCTGGAAACCCACCATGCACTTCACTTTTCAGTTTGCTCTTGTGTTGAATAAGCCCAGTGCAGACTTACCTTCAGGGGCATTCTGAGGTTTTCCACTTAGTCGCAGGATTTTTGCCTCTTCAACATCAAAACCATTAAGATTCATTGCCCAGGCTTTCTGATGCTCCTTGGAGGGGAAAAAAAAAACACTGTAAGAAATCAATAATACTATACTTGATCACACAGAATTCAGTCACTGTACCAGACATTTAAACTCTACCTTCTTGGTGGGTGTCTCCTCAGATGATTCCTCTTTGGTTAAGAGAAAATTGGCCACATCCATTTGCATAGCACTACGATTAGGGATGTATCTATCGCCTCCAGTTTTGTTTGGAGTATTTTGTGATTTGGAACCAGACTTACCTGCAAAACACAGATTTCATTAATCTGTATCCCCTCAGGTAATTGCTAGCCTGAGAACAAGATACTTTTATTGTTATCTGAAAGGGTCATTAAGATAAACATACATGTCCAGCACTGGAAAACAAATTGGAGAAATAGCACAGAACAAAGACTTGGCACTTAATGTCTGATTTCATGTCATACAGTGATGTTTATCCTCCCATTGGCTACAAAATACATCTTACCTGGTGTTTTGGAAGGCGTCTTGCTGGTACTATGAGGCCTGTTAGCTGGTTTCATAGGTGAAGGAGCTGCAGCATCTGAGGCAGTTCCAATGCTGGAAGCAGCACCATCCTTAGCCTTACGCTGCCATCGTGCAGGAGGGACATTTGGTATTGGGGCATCAAGTTTCAACAGCCCGTGCAAATCACTCTCAAACAGAAACTGTGCCATAGGGATGCAGTGCTGTGTAATCGGAGCCAGGGAAAAAGTAGGTAAGTTGATCTCAGATAAGGAAGGACAGTAGACAAGAACATCAGGAAAATGGACTTATCTGCATCCACAGGATGGCTATAGGTTCACACATCTTGTTCCAGAATAACAAACGAGATAAGATTCGGCTGACTGAATGTAGTCCTTAAAAGCACAAGCGGCAAGAAAAGACTATCCTCCTTTTCTTTAATATTTTGCTTCCTACCTGACTTTTCCCTCACGCAAAAGGTGAAAATAGCTCAACAGGATGGAGCTTGCTTTGTACTTTACAGTTTATCTTCAGGAGGTTTAACCAGCAAACGTATTGCAATAAGACAAAATAGTGATTTTTCTCTTATTGCGATACGTTTGCTGATTCAAAGCAGCATGTTTTCTTTCTCATACAATTTCTGGGTCTGTTTCTGGCACTGGGGGGAGGGGAAACACTTTGTGCACCGCGGCAGAATACGTTGCAAGAAATATTGGGCAGAAAAACTAGAGGATTGGAAGAAATCGAGAACCAGAAAAAACAAAAACAAAAATGCTTTTAGGATCCTAAAAAATTCGGCTCGGCAGAACCTCTTACTTACCACTGCTCTGACTCCAACTTTTCCGGCTCCTTCCGCCATTCAGGATTTAAACTTCCCACTTTGTTTAACTATTGGTCATTTCGAACTTAACGTCCGCCGGATGACTTACGGCTCGCCCGCCTAACTTTACTTTCATTGGTCCCTGAATGTAGGTGGGTGTGGCTTTGCTACCAAACATTTCTCTGGATGGTTAGTTGTCTTGGATGGTTCCTACATTGTCGTAACGGGGGAAGTGGCGTGCAAAAGGTTTCTGCCGATGTTCGGGGTGCGGTGGGAAGGGGAGGGGGAACGTTTCCATGGCGTTTGACGCTATAATCAAAATATTTTTAGTTCAACGTTCTAAGGCTAGCAAACGGCTATGGCTCGGTGCTTAGAGAGACGCAGGTCAGACAGAAGCCGCAAGAAATTACACGGGGATAGCTTTTATTTGATTGCCAAGCCTAAATTGATGTAAACCTTTCTGCTAAGCAATTCAAGTGGCAAAATCGGAGAAAAGAGTGTTCTTAAAGACAACTGCAAGATTTATGGAAAGAGACTCGTTTTCATGAGACATCATGCCATAAGATACTGCTCATCTTCTCTATGGTTAATGGAGCTCATCTGCGCTCAAGTTGTAGGTCTCCAGCCTTAATCACGAGGCTAGAGCCTTTTCATGTTCCAAGGAACGAAGTAATGTTTTAAAATGGACACCTATAATAGATTTTTAATTTAGAAAATCAGTTTGTTCAATTGTTTATTAAATAGCATCAGCATCTTCACCCTCTAGTTGCAGGAAAGACCCAAACAGGTAGTACTGTACAGTAAAGAAGCTGTTTAGCAAATGCAGTTTTCAATTCAGCTATTTGAAAAATGGATCCCAGCAAGCAGTCCTCTGAGACAGATACCCTGCAGCCCTTCAGATGTTGCTGAATTATTTCCAGGTGCTTTTGCTAGCAGGCTTGATAGTGAGAGATGTTGATGGTTGTAGTTCACCAACTACAGATGAACAAGGTAACATTACTTGCTATATGTTACTTTTTTTAAACCTTATTCTGAATTCGCTTACAAGAATGCTCCATGTTCTGCCTCTTGTACTTTGATTAGTACATTTGATACTTCCCTTAATCTTGGATACATTTTTCAAAGTGCATTTTCAAAGATTTAAATATAATCTGGGAGTTCTAGAGACTCATAACTCCTGCTTAAAGAGCAGGTGGCAGTCTTGACCAGGAGGCGCTTTGTGCAACTGCAGTTTGTACACCAGTTATACCCTTTCCTTGACCAAAAATCCCTGCTCAGAGTCACCCGTGCCTTCCCGTCTTGATTATTGAAACACCCTTGAAAAATATCCAGAAGCTTCAATTGGTTCAAAATGCATGCATGGTTTTATGCAGGCCTAGATGTGCATATGTATCAACTGAGAAAAACATTGGCTGTTGATTTGCTTTGGGGTCCAATTCAAGATGCTAGTTGTCACTTCAAAAGCCCTACATGTCTTGGGACCAGGTTATTTGAAGCACCATCTTTTCCCAATCAAATCTACTTAATCCACCAGAGCAGGGAGGCAGGGAATGCTACGTGTCCCCTCTCCTAAGGAGGCCCATCTAGCGGAACCAAGAAGGACCTTCTCCATGGTGGCTCCCTCCCGGTGAAACATCATCTCCTCAGAGATTATTGACTTTGACACTCCTTCATAAGACATGGTTTTGCCAACAGGTCTGGGGACCCCAGGGTGGGATGGAGCCCATGAAATGGCTTATTTGATTGTTGTCATCAGGGAATGAAGAGTTATTGCTGTTTGATTGCTTTTGATTGTTTTTATACTGTATTGTTTTTTTAACCTTTATATTTTTAATAAATACATTTCTGGGACAACTCCATTCGAGAAATTTGGTTTTATTTGTTATTATACTAGATATAATTGCCATTCTGCTAACAGAATATATCTTTAAATGGGGAACATACCAGGTAAATGGGAAGTACTTACAATATGCAGTCTCGGATCCCAGTTTTTCTTTCCTCACTTCAACCTCTCCTCCAAGTGACAAGAGAGAGTACATTTATATTCAGTATAACAGGGGTCCCCAACCCCTAGTCCATGGACCAGTGAGTGAACAGTAACAACTGGGCCGCACAAACAAGCAAAGCCCCATCTGCAGGGTGCAGGCAGCACACAAAACCATGCCCCTCTCTGGTCCGTGGAAAAACCTCTCCACGTAACTGGTCCCTGGTTCCCAAAAGGTTGGGGACCTCTGCAATATAACATCTTCAACTCCCTACCAAGCATTGGAATTGACATTTCCAACTCTCTAGCTGACATTTTAGTATAAAAGTGATATATACAATGACACCTTAAAATAGCTGCTGTTTGTATTTTCCCCATTAGAACAGTTATGCTTTCTTCACATATATGACTGACTGTGGCCATCCCATTGACTACAATACTGTTTCACCTGTCCATTTGCTTCATTCAAAAATACCCTTTGCTTTGGGCCTTTCTGTGGACTTTCTATCAGCAGTAGAGTGTAAGGCCCTTTGAGGCTTTATGTTAGTTTGACCCAAAGTACTTCTGAGGAGCCCAGGAATCTGTGCCATTAATTGCTGTATTACATCTTATGCACTTAATTTGCTTGCTACAAGCAAGCATCAGAACAGAACTATATCTTGTCCTGACTAGAATAAGCCAGCAGAATTTACTTATCCTTTACTCCATTAATGATTCCATTAAATATTGGGTCATTGTTATCTTACTTTTAAAGCAAAATGGATTTTAAAATGTTACTGAAACCTCTCTGGCGATGGTAAGAAGTGCTTTTATGACACTGAACTATAGTAATTCACTGTGAACTGTGTGAATTCCTAAATTTGATCCTCATGAAAAAAAAGTACATTTAACTGCCATGAATCAGAGCAGTTGCATTATTCAAATATTTATTTACAAGCAACCATGGCAATGCAAATAGTAACAGTGAATCCTAATCTGTACAGATCAGTAGTAATGTGTGCCATATTTAAAATCAGTGAAATAAATCCGACTATTACAGTGACCTAACAGAGTGGTGCTTATCTCACAAATTGTATTTAGTCCTCAGCATGGTATATTTTCTATTTTGCTCTATTTCTGGTTATGCTATGCAGTTGTATTATTACAATTTTTTCATCATTTCATAAAACATACTTTGCAGGAAGATAGTTGATCCTATTTCTTCAAAATGGAAAAGGTATTTTAAATCTTGTTTTATTTTAGCTGACTTACAAATCACTGGGACACAGCTGCATAAGAATCACTTTGTTTTTGGAGATCTGTTGTTACCAGATGCAATGTGGACATGTCTTTGGATAAAGTTCCACATTCAACTCCATATCATAATCCAATGCTTGGGTTGGTAATTTGAGGCCACAGATCCTCAAATCCTTTTGCAGCAACCAAAGTACCCTTTGGCCATCACTACTAGAATTTGGCAGTATGATTCCCTGCCATTCAGAAATGCGAAAATAAACCTTGTAGTGTAATTTTTTTCCCCTTTCAATCCCCGCCCCTAAAATGAGTCCTGTATGAATACAGTTCTAGTCACTTTGCATCGTTGCCTTCCAAAAATTCAAGGTAGTTTCTGGCCATGAAAAATTGCCCAAGCTGCTAAATTCAATTGGTCCACAAGAAACAGATTTGAGGAGTACTGGCTAAACAGCTGCCTTACAATTGAAAATTGCTTGTATTGTATTATAAACTTCCACAGTGCCTAATAATTTCTCATAGTGCTGTCCTCTAATGATAACACAATCAGCCCATTAGCAAATATGTCTGGTTTGAAATATCAGTGACAGATGTGGCTTGGTCATCAGAAATTTCCTGCCTTCTTTCTTCTTTAATCTCTGATGGTACATTCAACAAGGTGAATGGAATTATTTGGGTCATTGGCTCTGATGTTATGTGTAGATCACCTTCCAAAGTCTGTGGGAAAGCATTTCCATTATTATTTGTGTCATCAAAGTACTCATTTTCATGGTGGCTGCTTTGGGGATTGTTAGAACTCAGCACCATGTAGTGCTGATGGGAAGAAGGTTGGCTGCCCCATTCTGTCTGTTCTACCAAACTCATATCTAGCAAAGGATCAAAGCTTCGTGTTTCCAGGGGTTTCTCAGATAGTACTTCCAACAAGCAAGTCAAAGGCACATCCTCCAACATTTTGTTGCAAAATAAAGCATTTACCTAAAAGTTCAGAAAGAAACAATCAGAAATTCAAAAGGACCTCTGGTTTATTTCATCCCTCCTTGACATTCACTTTATGGGAATCTGGATGAAATAACAATGTGAAAAACAATAAAAGAGCAATGTACTCCAACTAGGAAAAGTTAAAAACCACGAAAAGTTCCACCCAGTATTTAGCATGCACTGTAACCTGAATAAGGGAGACTTCTAGGCATACGCTAACATTACCTCATTTTATTTCTGTTTCCATCATCACATACATCACAGTTCAGAAATGGGATGGAACTGAAAAAGTCTGCATCTTGGAAAAGTCAGATGAGAAATGATTTTGCTCGTATTGTTCCTGAAATCTGGTAAATATGCCCACAGAATAATGCAAGATTCTCACAAAAAGTATATCGGAAGGAGTTAAAAAACAGGAATGTTCTTCTTTTCTGGTAAAAGGATAGCCTAATTCTGCTTTTACTGACTTACTGCATTAGAAGTAATACAATAACAAGAAAGTCTTACCTGCTGCTGCTGCTGCTTGCCATTATCCTGGAAGAATCCATCTAGGACATAGTGTAGGTCTGGGATGCGTGGCCAGAGCTTTTGTTTCATACTACTATTAACAAAGAAATACAGATGGTCGCAAAAGGATAACAATACATATCCCAAACTATGTTTTTTGTTCAATGGCTGAGCTGCACAGAATTCAGTTACCTGTAGTTGGAAAGGCAGGTGAAGCCCAGTCCCAGCACAAGTCCTGCACACAGCAAGAGTGCTATAGCCACGATCATAATCACTGAATCTAAAGTAGAAGCACATGGTGGTGAATTTGTGACTTTTCTTTCTTGAGGCTCAGCAATCTTGGTTTTATTTGTCAAATATTTTCTCTCCATATCTGGCAACATCTCTCCAATGCACATTACTGATGTTGCTTACCTGTACCAGGTGGGACTTCAACACACGCTAATTCTGACCAGGTGCTCCAGTCCCCACGGAACTTCTGGCCATCTGGCTGGGTACGCAGCTGAAGGCAGTAGCGATCCTGGGTGGCTAGATGAATTTCACTGGTGTTTGAGTACTGCACCTGTAGAGTCTACCCAGAAAATGGCCCCATCATGTATACTCTACTAATTAGTTTCCTGGGTTTCACATCCCCCAAATACAGAACAGGTAGTTCTCTACCTACAACCATTGGTTTAGCAATGGAAATTACAATGAAAAGAGTGACATATGGCTAGTCCCCACACTTAACAATAATCATAGCAGCCCCATGGTCATGTGATCAAAATTCAGGTGCTTAGCAACTGGCATGTATTTATGATGGTTGCACCATCTCAGGGTCATGCAATTGCCATTTGTGACTTTCCCATGCAACTGCCAACAAGCAAAGTCAATGGGAAAACCAGATTTGCTTCACAACCACCCGATTCACTTAACAACTGCAGTAATTTGCTTAACAACAGTAGCAAAAAGGTCATAAAATCAGTGTTCTGTCCCAGCCTACGTGAGTCCTTATTAAGCTCACAAGGAGAAACTCCTCTTCCAACAAGCAGGCTGGAACCGCAGGAAAAAAAACAATCCCTTTTTATTATTCACAGACCTGAGTCAATGTCCAAGGCAAACAAACACAGTTCACAGAAACTCGATCCTCAACACGAATGGTTGCCTTCGGCAACCAGCACCTCTCACACCTTCCCTTTTATTTTGCAGGCAAGGCATGGCTTCCTAATGCCTTTGCCTTTGGAGCCATCCCATTGCATTCCTCTATCCTACTCTCTTTTCTTGCCAGTGTTTTCATGGATCCTGGATATCTCTCAGCTGTGATTCATTGCTGTCGAACTCAGACTCCCACCACAGCTGTGTCTCAGCCTGAGCAGGAGTAGAGGGGCCAGGCTCCTTGTCAGACTGTAAGTCTTGGAGCTCCTCAGAGCCTTCCTCTGACTCTGATGTCACTCCAGGCCCCTCTTCCTCCTCTGATTCCTAAGACTCAGCTACCGGGTCCACTGGCTGGTGAGGAATCACAACAATCAGATGCAAAAAAGTCAACTATTGCCTTGTTTAGCAATGAAAATTCTGGTCCCAATTGTGTAATAACTTGAAGATTTTTTGTACAGCAGTACTTAGGTATTGTTCTACTGACTAGGTCATGGTTTTTCCTCTGTATGAAACACTCCCCATACTTCATTTACTAGGGAATACATTGTAGTGTTGTTCCCTAGGTTATGGCATGTTTGGAAAAGGGGAGGAGGTATTTTTTAATTCCTAAGTTTTTTAAAAGATATTTTGTTAAGCTGTCATACACTTCTGGTTGCCTTAGTTATATCTTGAGCCAAATAAAAAAGTATGGCATGCATTCATCTCATTCTCTAGTAAAGGTTCCATTTAGACATTATTACTTGACCCAGAAATACAATCCGTTTTTCTATGCATTCTAAAGACTAGTATATCAGCTTGTTTGGAGAGATTTGGTGTCCTGTTTCTGGAAATTATCTATTTCTGCAAGTATTGTTTAGAACTTATCAAGATGCATCTATTTTCATACCTATTGACCAAAGTACCCAGTTCAAAACTGGCAATATGCTAGTATTTCACCTACATATTTCATAGGATTTTAAAAATGTAATAGAGGAATGGCTGTAAAAAACCTGAAAAACCTTTGAGAGAGTGGATTGAGGCCCCACCTCTTTTTATGTGCATTGTGTATGTAGGATACATAAAAAGAGACAAGGTTTCAATCACAGAATTGCAGCCCCAATTTTGATTTTTTAGGACTCTTCCCTTTGTGCCCCAAATTTACTTTTTTCCATTTTTTTCATATCAACCTTCCATTGCAAATTTCCCTCATAGCCAAAAAAAACCCCTGTCAAAACTGTTCTGCATTCATTAGTTAATTGCAGAGAAATACAGGTAGTGAAAAAAATGTGGATGTGGGGAGTGACAGTAATTTCTTTTATTTATGAAATTGGAGTAAGAGTATTTATGTTAATATCAATGAGACAATGCCAGAATAATGTTTGTTGTTGTTTTTTTGGGTTGGCCATCTGGAGGAAAAGCATGGATTGGCTGATTGGTATTTTGAATTCTCTTCTTCAGCTCTGGAGACAAACACTGTAGTAGGCCTGATTCCAGCTGATTCCTCAGGAATTGGGCATATGAATCTGCCCTTACTGCCCAGAAGCTTTTTAAAATCTTCAATTGAAACCATCCTTTTTGTAATTTAAGACAGATAGTCAGTCCTTGCTTAATGACTGCTCTGTTTAGTGACTCAAAGTTATGACAGTGCTGAAAACATAACTTTGCAACTGGTGTTCACATTTATGATGGTCACAGTGTCCCTGCAGTCATGTGATTGAGATTCAGGTGCTTTGAATGATCATCAAAGTGTACCATGATCATGCAATTGCCATTTGAGTACCTCACAGTTAAAGTCCGACAAGCAGAGTCAATGGAGAAGATGGCAATAAAATCACAAGTCTTGTGATGTCTCACTTAAAAAAATCATGTGTGATTTACTTAAGAACTGTGACAGAATTGATGTCATAAAGACCATACAATGTATTGCCTAATGATCACTGGAGCTCCTTGTCCCAACTGTATCAGTAATAAATCTTGGAACAGCCAAAAATAAATGATTATTGTTTTTAATTTGGATATACTGTATGAAGAATGCTGTTATATCCCCATTCTCCTTTTACTCTTTCTATCCTTTTTTGTGATATAAGAAGGATATAGAGTTTCAGAATAGGACACAACATTCCAGATGCTTCTTGCAGAGTAAAATAAATTTAGGGTAGCGATTTCTTGCTTGGAAGCCATCGTTCTAAATTTGCTGTACAGAAGCATTTATTTGCAACTATCTGACACTGCTAATTGGATATCACAAGAATATTTGCTAGAGAAAAAAAATACCTTCCACTTCAAGGTGTCTTGCACCATATACTGTATCTGATATACCATGTGCTCAGCTATTTCTTCTAGTGGGGAGGCCCACTCCAGCTTTAGTATATTTCTGTCTATTGAAGCCTCCAAGATTCTTGGGGGAGCAGTGTGCACTATAACAGGAGAAAGATGATTGGTTAGGTCAGCTTAGATTCATGGGGAAGCTAATATTGCAATATTAATAGTATTGTATCTTTTCTAATATTGCTGTTCTTTTGATGCCAGACTAGTGCAGGACAGCTCACTCTTTTGAGCTGAAAGTCCTGATCGTGCTGAGACCAAGAGATGCTGAAGATTCTTACCCGCATGGTACAGTTTGAATGGCTCTTCAAAGTAGCTGACCTCTTGTTCCCTCTGGCTGATAGTCACCAGGATAGAAAGGTAATGAGTGTTGCTGGGCTGGAAGGTGCATGTGCAGGAAGCAGGGTCTTCCTTCTTACATTTGTGCCAGAGTTGCCCTCTGAAAATTAAAATTGGATAATTGCATATCAACAGTGATCTGATGTTGAGTTGTCTGCTAGAACTATCTGAAGTTGCCTTTTAAATAGTTCTTAAATTATCAACCACACTTACACTTTCCTTGACTATTAGTACCCCCAAGTTCTGTTTAAGTTTTCCCTCCAAATTAGGAGATTCCAGTAATCGTATTGGAATGAATATGATTAGTGAGATTCATTAAGTTGTAAAAAATTCTAAAAAGTGCTACCATCGCTCCAACTATTCATCATCCCTGTTGCATTATAATTTTGAGCAGCCGTCATCACTTTCTACTGATTGTCATAGGGCCATTTGAAATAAAGAGTCTGTGAAGAAGATGCATTACCAGGGCCGAGATGCAGAAATGATAGATGAAACAGACACTGCAGTACAGCCTTCTCCTAACTTCGAAGGTTTGAGACTTAATAAATACTAAATAGGTGAGGTTGTTGTGAATGTTAAGCAACAAAGAAGCAGGACTGATGTGATTTCATTTTAACTGTTGTATTGGGACTGGAGAAACAGGTTCAAGTTGCCATTCAACCCTGAAATTCGCCCAGTAAGCTTTAGTCAGCCTCTTCATCTCGTCCTATCCAATTTCCCAGAGTTGCTGCTGTTAAATAAGTAGCTTAGGCAGGAGAACTATCTATGCCACCAAAACAATTTGAAAGTAGGATGGGATTTGCAATAATTAAATGTTTGTAATCTTGTTTGTTAACCTAAGCTACCAAATAAGACTCAGAGCAATGCCCAGTGGTGGGATTCAAATACGTGAACAACCGGTTCTCTGTGTGGATGCTGCTTCCGGAAGTCCATTCTGGGCCTGGGCAACAACAAATTAGCTACCGGTTCTGCCAAAGTGGTGTGAACCGGTTGAATCACACCACTGGCAATGCCTACATGTGAGCTAGTTTGATGTAGTGGTTAAAGCAGCAGGCTAGAACCCAGCAGATTTTGAGTTTTAATCCCAACTTAGGCACAAAGCCAGCTTTGGGTCAGTCATTTTCTCTTAGCTCTAGAAAGGAGGCAATGGCGAACCATTTTTGAAAAACTGTGCCATGAAAATTACAGGGATTTGTCCAGGCAGTTCCCAAGAATCAGAAACAATTGAACGGAAGAAAAAAAAAATGCCTTCAGTGAAAACTGAAGGACACTATTTGGAATGGTACCTGAAACAGGAGCAAACATTATGGGACAGAACAGGAAGGAGAAGACCTGGTACTATTCAGTTGCCCATCTAGTCACCTTGTGCTGCTGCTGTTGCTTTCCATCCAGTACAAGAGGCTGTGAAAAGGGCCAGATTCCAGGGTCTTCTTGTTCCACTGGCAGTGCAGTTGATGCAAGTCTGGAGTGAAACAGTGCAGACCAATCGCCTCTGTCCAGAAAAGAGAACAGATGTAGAACAATTTGACAGCAGCTTTTTTCAGTACTATTTTGTGTCCCACATGTTAAATCTATTTTCTTTGTTTTATATGTAGTACATGTCCTTCCTTTCAGACTGTCACCACTCCAGAGCAATATCTTCTAAAAATTCTATGCCACTGAACTACACTCCCCAAATCTCTCAACATTGGGTATACTGAGTAAGGCTGCTTGGGAATGTGGCTCAGAACATTTGCAGAGCTCTGTCTATCTATCTTAAAGAGGCCCTTTATGCTGTTCAGAACATCTATTGCGTGATCTAACTCCTTCCCCTTAGAAACTTTTCATGAATTTATTCTTTATTGTAAATTGTGAAAAAACTTCATTAACAAGAAAATAATTATATTTAGATTTTTTTTATTGCTGTGCCCTAAAAGCAAAACTCTTTCTGGAGAGGAAAGGACCAGCCTGAATTTGGAGAACGCTAGGGCACATCCAGATGGAAGATTCCTAGGGTTTACAGTCAAAGGACATTGAGCAGCTTTTCTACTTTTTTCTCCTCACCTCCCCCCCCATGCGTGCGTGTGTGCGTGCGTGTGTGTGTGTGTGTGTGTGTGTGTGTGAATAAAGGAGTAAGAAGATGCAGAAGAACGTCTCCAGAAGATAGACTCAAGAGACAACAGGATCTTGACAGACTTGAACACCAAGCCTTATCTAACAAAATGAAATTCAGTGATGAGACAAGTAAGGTTTTATATTTAGGCAAGAAAAAATAAATGCACAGGAAGAGAATAGGTGGTACTTGGCTCAATAGTAGTAATTACGAGAGGAATCTTGGACCCCTAATGGACGATCACTTAAATGTGAGCCAGCAGTGTGCTGCAGTTGCCAAAAAGTCAACACAGTCCTAGGCTGTATTAACAGAAGGATAGAATCATGATCATGTGAAGTGTTAAGACCGCTTTATAATTTCTTAGTAATATTGACTCCATCTTTAGTCACCATGATATAAAAAAGATGTTGAGATGCTGAGAGTGCAGTGAACAGTAACAATGATGATTATGGGACTGAAGATAAAACATACAAAGAATGGTTGACGTAATGGATATTTCTAATTCAATGGCAAGGAGTGATGGGGTAACATGATAGCAGTGTTCCGATATCTAAGGCAGGGCTTTTCAACCGGTGGTAGGTGTACCACCTGAAGTAGTTTGCCATGTGGCAGGTGGTACATGACTGCTAGCCAAGTATAGCAGGGGAGGGGAATGAGCCAAAGCGACCTAAGCCTGAGGGAGAGGCAGCTGCAGCTGCAGGACTGTCTGGGCTCGCAGCGCCAGAGATGGAGGTGAACTGAAGAAAAAGGGTAGGGGAGAGGAGAGGCTATAAAAGACGGTGGTTAGGCAGAAAGGGGAAAAAAGACAACAGAGAAAGAGGAGGAGAGGTCAGCCTGCAGGGAGGAAACAGGGACAGAGAAGAAGCAGCAGCCGTTGCTGGAAGAAAAGATCCCCTGGTTCATTTTCTCCAGCCAGGAGAATACAATCAGTGCTGATAAAATGAAAAGCCAGCATGTCAGAAAGGAGATGGGTTTATTTAGTTCTGGATCAGCTGGCAGCTTGATTGGGTTACCATAAGGATTTTTATACAGTTTTTACAGCATTTTGTAATTCAGAGGCTCCTTTGTGTGCTTTGGTTATTGGTATATTTTAGTCTGTATTTTAGGCTAGCAATGAGTCCAAAGTGCTGACTTTAAACACATGTAATCCCTTTAAACACATGTAATTAGTTTTACCCCATTTTCTTGAGTCTATCTGTGGCTTTTAGAAAGTTTTCTTTGAAGATAAACAGGTTTAATTTAAAGCTAAAGTTTTTAGCAATTGCCGGAGCCTTTTGGATTGCAACATTGTGACACATGACACATCTGAGGCAGCTTAAAGAGAAAAAAACCCCAGAGTTTAAGTGTTTCTTTATTTTGTGAGCCTTTCTTACTTTGCACTTGATTACTGTGTCTTTAAGGGTATAGGGAAGGGATTGGGTAGGGTGCATTCTTACTACACTGTGGAAGGAGAGCTAAGAAGGGCTGACCAGCGAGCTCAGGGGTCTACAAACTTAGCAACTTTAAGACCTGTGGACTTCAACTCCCAGAATTCCTCATCCAGCCATGATGGCTGAGGAATTCTGGGAGCTGAAGTCCACAAGTCTTAAAAGTGCCAAGTTTGAAGACTCCTGAGCTAGCTGGTAGTGGCACATATTAATAAACATGGATAAATTCATCATACATTTGTCAGTGCAAAGGGAAAGTGATTCAGCAAAGGAACAGTCACCAAAGAAATTAAAACTGGAACTTTTTTTCTTTTTTTTCTATAGTTTGTAATATTTTATTAGATTATAGAATAAAATACAAAAATACAAAAGCAAATAGTAGGACACAATGGGGAGAAAAATGGGGGGGGGAGTGAGGGGGAGTAGGGAAAAAGAATAGACTTCCTCTGTTGCAGTAGAAGGAAGCATTAACAACTTTTTACTTTTTCCATAATATTATAAACTAGCCATTTCTATAACAACAAATGAATCTAATCAGTAAAACCCAAAATCCCCCCCCCCTTTTTAAAGTCATCAAGTTTTTGACACCTTGCTAAGCACTGGTGGTACTCAAATATTGTCATGTCCTAAAAGAGGTACAATCTGTGAAAAGGTTGAAAAGCCCTGATCTATAAGGGGCTGCCGCAAAGAAAAGGGGGTCAACCTAGTCTCCAAAGCATCTGAAGTAAGAACAAGAAGCAATGGATGGAAAATAATCAAGGAGAGAACCAACTTGGAATTAAGGAGAAATTTCCTGACAATTAGAACAATTAATTAGTGGAATGACTTGCCTCCAGAATTTGTGAATACTCCAACACTGAAAAATTTTAAGAAGAGATTGGACAATTATTTGTCTGAAATGGTGTAGGATTTTCTGGTTAAGCAGGGGTTGGACTAAAAGGCCTCCAAAGTCTCTTCCAACTGAAAGCACAGTTTTTAAAATTAAAGGTAATAAGACACTTCTCATAAAATTCTATAAATGAGGCATGGCAAATTTAGAAAAATATACAGGCAAGGATACATACAATACACTTAACAGGGGCAGGGGCAGGGAATTAGATCAAAGGACCAAATACTGCCTTTGGAGTCAGGTTCAGTCCCTATCCATCACATGTTTGGAAGAACATAAAACTTAACTCAGTTGTATCTACTTCCCCAAGAAAAAAAGGTTGAGACATAAAATGACTGAAAAAAGTATTGCCACAATCTGGTTGCACAAAACTTATTAAACACTGATCAGTTGTAATAACTAAACTATATCAAATGCTGTCACTTGCCCTGGATAACAGAAAAGGGAATGGTGATGTCATAAAGTCTACTAAGTCTTCTGGTACAAGAGGTCCTGTAACACAAGTCACTTCTTTGAGAAGGCAGGCAATATTTCTGTGCCTTTTGATTCAGTTAATGTGATTGTGTATTGCTAGAATCATTGTTATGAAATCTGACTGAATTAATGACTGATTGGGTCAAGTATGTTATGGTAGCAGAACTACCAGTATTAGGAAGTAAACACCTGAACTAAGCCGGGAAGCAAATTTTGAGCAGGAAAACATGCAGGAATTAATGAAAAAAAGGGCACCATTTGTGCCCTGGTTGAGTTTGTCCTCCATATGCTCTCCAATAAAATGGGGCACTGAGTTTGTCAGCTGAAAAGCTAACAGCCTGGGTCCAAGACCCAAGCGCCATGTGTCAGTGTGAGATCCCATTACTTGTCCCAGCTCTTGACAACCTAGCAGTTTGGAAGCATGCAAATGCAAATAGATAAATAGGTACCATTTCAGTGGGAAGATAACAGCATTCCGTGCACTTAGGCATAGAGTCATGCTGGCCACATGACCACAGAAGCATCCTTGGACAACGCTAGCTCCCTCAGCTAAGAAATGGAGATGAGCACTGCCCCCTAGAGTTGGACATGACTGAACAGGGGAAATCTTTACCTTTACTATGCTCTCCATGCTTTTTAATTGTGCCCATACAGCCTAACAGACTCCAAAACTGGAAGTAAATATTCATGCCTCTCTGTCCCTTCTTTCAGTCATGCTAGCTAAGCAAATGCAGATTTGAGTGTAGCATTTTTGTGTCAGGATAATCAGTAGTTTTATGCTATGGTTCCTGAAGGGAATGCAACATTTGCATTTCCAGAATTTCAAATACCTTGATACTGAATCTCCATAGGGGTTATTAAATTATTTAATAGTAATAGAGAATGAGAGAGAAAATGTATTTGCAATTCATTGTTTCAGGGGACATGGTTTTTAGTATTGGCACCTACAGGCTCCTACAGGTCTGAAAAATGTGCAAGTACTTTAGCAGAAATACAGATTCACAAGCCTTATATGACTACTTTCATGCATAAACATGACTCCCATAGAAGAAAAATTGATTTTATAGGGAGTCATAGAATCCATGCTTGCAACAATTTCATTTAATTTTTTTTATTTTGCAGTAGTAATATTGATGCAATATGATTCTGCCAGTTGTAATTTCCACTTAGAAATGGTGCATTTCTATGCTATTGAAATACTATTGCCCTAAAGTTGCACAACTGACAGCTGCTTCCCAGTCAACAGGCCACTCACCAGAAAGATGGGGTGTTCCTGCTGTTGCTGCTGGAGACCAGGGTCCCCAGATGCCATCAAGAGAGAGGCCATCAGGTTTGGAGCGAACTTGGATGTGGTATTGCTGTCCTGGAAGTAAGTTCTTGAGATGGCACATATAGCTGTTTTTCACTTCAATCTACAATAAAATAGAATAAGACTATAAATGTTTCCTCAGCTAGATTATTTTAGCAAAAAAGTATTGGAGCAAAAATAAAATCTAGCTATTATATCAAAGCCATTTTTCCTATATTAACCATACCCTGAATGGTGCCTGAATCAAATCCTCAACACCATAAAGAACTTCATAAATCAAGAAGTCTGCATAGCTGATAGATGGAGGCATCCAATTTACAAGCAACTGTTGTGCAATCCCTGGCCACTCAACTGTTATATTTGTTGGTGGAGCAATGAGACCTTAAAACAACGACAAAACAAAACAAAAATTAGCACTCTTGCTTATCTCTATGCTATTCATGTGACGATTGAATAGGAAAGAACAGCCTTTCTAGATTAAACAGAAGGCAAAAACTGATCAACATATTTAGCATGCTAATTTGCTAGAGCAGAAATTGGGAATGTCTGTCACAATGCACCTGTGCCTCTTTTAGAATTGATAGCTGAACTTTCTTAAAAGATCTACTAATTAATTTATTGCCTAAATTTATCTCTTGGGTTAATTACGTTGGGTATTTAATCATAATTAAATAATAATTTAATTGGTTTTCTAAAAAAAATCATAAAGGAAAGAACAACAACATACAAATGGTCCTATTTCCATGTTAAAAAAAAACCTTCAGCAATAATAAATCAACAGAACCATTGCGTGTCCTTGCCATATTTCCAAATTCCATTGATAGAACCTTGTGTTTAAGGCCTTGCAAAAAGCTGGCAGGGTCAGGGCCACTCTAATCTTGGAGGAATGATATTTCAAAGATGGGTGCCATGACAGAAAAGTCTCTCTTCCTGTGACCTGCCAGATAACACTCCGTAATAGACAGGACCCAGTGCATGCCTCATTTGCTGTACCTATTGGAACTTAAGATGGACTCAGGATTTGTTGAGTAAAATGTCTGCTAATAAAGAAAATATTGATGGAAATACAGAAAAATAGAGAGAGAAAAATAGCAACACTGTACTGCCACTGCCAGTATGTGAACAAATAGCTTCATAATTTTCACAAAGATAGAAAGTTGATTTATATCACCTATACATTACAGTATTTGTTTAGCAACAGTTATAGGAAAGAGCAGATGACATCCACCATTCATCAGTTCTAGAAACCTATCTACAGCCTTCCTGTTTTTTTTGTCTTGAGGTTTGCAAACATGCTTGTAATCAAATAAGCCCTGTGACTAAGCTAAAATCAATATTCAGTCTGTAGGCCAGATGACTGCTTCTACTAAGCTTCTCCAGCTGGCTGGCTAGGGCTTGAGTAAAACACTACTCCCCTCTCATTCTTCTTCTCAGCACATTCTTCTTCTCAGATTACATCATACATAAACAATTTGGCAACAGAAGAAAAAAATTCCTTTCATCCTCCGCTACAGGATCTTTGCTACTGGCCCTTCATGGAAGAGAAAAGAGTCATTCATAACATTTTCTGGCTCCTAAAAATACCCAAGAGGTCAGTCAAGTAGTGATTGCTATTTGATAAATGGTTCTAGTTCCAACTAAAATTAAGACTATTGAATCCAATCCATAAAATAACAGCTCATCTTCCATTATTCTAGTCTTGGAACCAATAGCAACAGCAATAGCACTGAGACTTATATACCACTTCACAATGCTTTACAGCTCTCTCTCTATTGCACTCAGCATATTGCCCCCAACAATCTGAGTCCTCATTTTACCAACCTCAGAAGGATGGAAGGCTGAGTCAACCTTGAGCCCGTGAGGACTGAACTCCTGGCAGAGAGTTCAGTTAGCTTGCAATACTGCAATACTGCATTCTAACCATTGCGCCACCATGGCACCAGTTGAAAATTATGTACAGTTGAAACCAGCAAGGCTATTCAATTAAGGAGAGTTTCAGAGTTAGGCTGTCACCATCAAAGCATTTTTGCTATGGGTAAGAGTTTCTATAGCTCTGGGAGAGAGGACTTTTCAAAGATTATGAGCAAACAAATAAAAGTTTTGTTTCCTACCAATAGAAGCATGTTCAGGATTTTGGACTGCAACACTAGAAAAAGTATTAATCCTTTCCTAACCACTCCCCAATTTCTATTTTATTTCTGGCCCTTTCTTGCAGCAGTTCCTTTATACTTCTAAAGCACCTATTAAATCCAACACAGCGGTACATCCTTCAGAAACATCCTGAACTGTACAACTGTACAAATTTAATCACATTCTACAGATGAAGGCCTTTTTTTCTACTTTATTTCATCACCTTCCTCTTTGTCTCTGCTTTATCTTTACAGTTACATTTTAGGGTAAATGGCAACCTTTTCTCTGTATTTCACCAGCAAGAGTTGTTAGGCTGTTGGAAATATTAGGAATAGGGCTTTCTTAGTAGTGGGTCCTCATTTTTGGAGCGCCATTTCCGAGGAAGAAAAATAAAGCATGGTTACTGCTTTTTAAAAAAAGAAAACCAAAAGTCATTTGTATTGTACTATAATTGAATTATTTTTAGTAATAGGTAGCTTTTTTTAAAAAAATTGTTTAATTCATTGGTGGGGAAATGCACTGTTTTAGCCACTTGCTGTCCTTCAGCCCTTGTTTCTTCATTTGCATTTTCTATAAAACCCATCAGATCATATTGAAAAGACTGTGAACAAACCTCCAACATTTGATAGTATTGTTTTCTATCTCTCTGTGCTACATAAGATGCAAAATAGTTGTGTCAAATTTTGAAGGCTCATTGTGCCTATTTTGAGCTTAACCATTTTCTCAGGTTCCTTGCAAAAATTTTACCCTCTCTTCTGGGGGCAGATTTGGGTGTTCTCTTATCTTCTGAGGACATCAGTAGCATCTGATGTCTTGGAAACTGATAACTCTATGCCCTGAAAGATAACTTAAAATAAAAGCCTGGTTATTACTTATGTCATGAAATGATACTGATAGATAGATAGATAGATAGATAGATAGATAGATAGATAGATAGATTATAACTATTATTAATTTCAAACAAGAATCTGTCAGTGCCAAATTAATCAGAGCAGTAATTAAATTCAATTAAATCCATAAGTTAAGTGTCTATGTGATTCACAGATTCATTCCAGCAATCATCAAAATTATAATATGGAAGTCATGTTTGTTCATGACTTGGCTAAAATTGTTGGGTGAAATGCAGGTCATAGTATGAATGTTTTTTTTAGGATGCTGGATTCTTCAAAACTTTACCCAGTTCTCACCTTTTTCTCTGCTTCACATACAGTTTATGCCCTATTGGAAGAAACTTACCAACAGTGTTCACTCTCAGATACTGTGAGAATATGGTATGATTACTAACACTATCCAACACTTCAATATTGAGTTCGATAAAGAGTTGTATGCCATAATAGTTTCCAGGAAAACTGCAGATGTGGCGCCAACTTCCATCTATATTTTTCATAGAGATTAGAGCACATTCTCGGCTTTTGTCTCTGCAGGGGTAAAATAGAGTAATTAGGAGTGTGATACTTCCCCAGTGTGACTTAATCTAATCTTTTTCTGAAATGGTAAAAGTGAGTTTCAGTCATCCCTTTCCTACAGTTCCTAATAAAAGCACAGGTAAAGGAAAACGTTTTTCCTGTCTAGTCATGTCCAACTCTATGGGGCAGTGCTTATCTCCATTTCTTAGTAGAGGGAGCCAACATTGTCCACAGATAATTCTGTGGTCATTTCGCCAGCATGGCTATATATGTCAAGGTACACGGAATACTGTTACCTTCCCACTGAAGTGGTACCTATTTATCTACTTGCATTTGCTTGCTTTCGAATTGCTAGGTGGGCAGGAGCTGGGGCAAGTAATGGGAGCTCACCCTGTCCTGTGGCACCGACGTCTCAAACACATATCACAAAGGTCAACATCTCTAACCACTAAGCCATTGTGCCCCTATATTTCCTAGATGCCAAAGTAATTTGCTTAGAATCTGCATCTACATTTATAAGTGCTTGGGTAAACCCTCCATCTCAGACAATTTGACCAGTCTATGTGGAAAATAACTTCTTACCCTTCGTATGTATAGAAGAATCGATATGCTCCTTTCACATGGGCTGGCTCATCCCAGAAACAGGTGAGATCCTCAAAGGTTCGAGAAAAGCAGAGAACATTTTGAGTTGTTTGAGCCAGTAGAATAGCTTCTATAAGGGGAGATGTTTTTTTTTAAAAAAAATAATCAAAAAATAAATTGAGTTCCCGGTACTTTTTTAGATGAAAAGAACAACAAATTTATCCAGGATATTGTAGTAGTCAACATTGCTGACATCCTCAACAAAAAGTTTTTGGGGATTATGCTGCTATTTTTTAAGAGATCAAGCAGTTTATAATAGTTGTTGTGGACTTTGTCTGCAGATTACACTAAGCCAATCTTTTAAAACGTAGTTTGTTAAACATGCCCTAAGACCCGATTCACGCATAAGCACTAAGGTGGGTTCACACGTTCATTTAAACATATGCAAGCAAACGATATCATGATTTAGCAGAGTTTGGTTTTTTATATAAAATTTTATTAAAATTTTAAATACAAAATAAAAACTAACGAAAGCTAATGTTTAGAAAGAAAAGGAAAGGAAAAAAGATTAAAAAGTGTGAAATCAAATCAAATAAGAGAAAAAGCATTATAAAAAAATGACCTGATTTTATTTTATAGAATCTATAAGTATAAATATAAAATAATGTTTCCCACAAAAAGTCAATATAGGGTTTCCAATCATCATTAAATCTAGACAACATCCTATCCCTACATCTTAATGAAAGCTGTTAATTTGGCCATTTCATAAGTTCCATTATCTTCATTATCCATTACTCCATTGTGAGTAAAGTCTAATCTTTCCATTTTTATGCATATTGCTGCAGTCATCATATATGAAAACAAAGTTCTCTATTTTTTTTAACAGGTGCTTATATCCATCCAACCTAAAAGAAAAGTCTCTGGTTTCAATTGTACATGAGTTTTAAAGTATTCTATATTACTGTATATAATTGAGTCCAAAATTTTGGGGTTTTTTTACATATCAATTTATTTAGCAGGACTTGTGAACACAGTATTCACGCCTATTTGCACAAGGGAAGGTAATGAATTTCAGGAAGAGAAACATTACAGTACTCTCTCCCATTTTATTGAGACTTTCTGCATTTTTATGAAGAGATGTGAAAACCTTTTTCCAACGTGCTGCTGTCAGGGGTCTATGACAACTCGCTACGGCCAACTCGCCATGGTCAACTTACTGCAGCCAACTTGCCGCAGAACAACTCGCCATGGCCAAATCGCCCTGGGACAAGAATTACACTAATATCAAAGAAATGGCAGAATAGAATCATTAAAGAAAGGATGCCAAAGGAGGGATGAAATGAAATCAGAATGACAAAAGTTAAATTAAATTGAATTGTTGAATTGTTCCGCAGCTAATTGCCCCATGGCGAGTTGTCCTGCAGCAAGTTGATCATAATGAGTTGGCTACGGCGAATTGGTCCTGGCGAGTTGACCGTGGCAAGTTGGCTGCAGTGAGTTGTTCCATTCTGGCTGTTAGTAGGACACACAACATTGGTATAATGGATCGACAGAGTAATGAATATAAGAGAATAGAGAGGCTGAGTACCTTCTGTCCTCTCCAAGATAATTACTTAAGTGAACATTACTTAGGTTAACAACTTTAAGACTTATGGACTTCAACTCCCAGAAGCACAAGTCTTAAAGTTGCCAAGTTTGGAGATCCCTATTTTAAAGGGGAGAAAAAAAATAATGGTGGCATTCAGCAATGTTGAAAATGTTAAGAGCAGGTGGCAGCATCAGGACAGTATATTAATTTTGTTGCATTTGTAATGTAGTGAAAAGACATATACTTGGCATCTTTTCATGAATATAAATCTGTGCTTTGTATGATTTTAATTTCTATTGACCACTTGTCCAGTTATAAACCTAAGTGTCATTGGTCTTATGGTATACTTGCTCTCTTTTTCAGGGAGAAATCTGAATGGAATAAACAATTATGATGATGATCTTAGAGAACACGAAGCAAAGGAGCTGTTTATTAGACCCTCGTGGTCTAGAGTAAGAGCCTTTGTTCACAAACAAAACATTCTAAAATAACCAGGTGGTTTTGCGATAAGTGTTTGCTGAGGGCTCGGGGATGAAAGCTTCCTGCTTTAGGGAGATAGAGCTCTCAAGGAAGTGTGGAGGAAACAAGAGGATCAACTATATATTACATGTAAATGTAGACCAAAAAACCCATATGATTTTGAAAATAGAAAAACCGTCTTAGAAAGCAGAGAAAACAGTTGTGTGATTCCTTTCTCATTAGCAGAGCTGCCTGGAGATATTTTGCTGCCTGAACTGAAAGACAAGATCATCTCTCTCTCCTCCACCCTATATTACAGCTACAGATTGAGAGTATGAATTTAGGCTGATGTTGATGAGACAGTGTTCTATTCTTCTAGTGGCTTTTTTATCTGAGGTGACTAATTTAGGAAGACTAGGGCAAGACAGAAAAGGGCAGGTGCAGCCAGGAATCTGGCACAATTGCCTCTCCAGCATTTTTTGCCAGAGGAAAAGATTGAAGGGGCTACATAAACAATAAGAAATAGGAATATATTTGGTTCTATCCAACATGGAATGGAAATACAACACCTATTTTTTTTTTAAAGCCTTCAATTGAAAAACGAAAGCATTTAGAGCATTCTAGTATAGGGGTGCCCCCTTTTAACACGTTTGTGACATCTAGACTTATGCAGAAAAACAAAAAGGAATCATCAAGACACTTTAACAGCAAAGCTTATTTTCACTCTAAGCTTTAATGTATTTCATTATGTACAACCCCAAGCCACACATACTGTACCAAATTGTACTCAGGCTCTTGTACAAAATCTATACAGCAGCTAATTTGCAGAGTCGATATTTATGTGAATCTTTTGTTGGCATTTTTATAGAAGCAACATGCATTTTTAAAAAATAAGGACTGGATTTAAAGAGAAAAATGGAACATAAAGAAACATATTTATTTACTTGTTTCAGAGTAGACGTGATATGGCAGTGCTGTATCCAAAAGAATATCTGCTTTTGATTACAATATGAAATAATTGAGATTATGATGGTGGACATTTATTTACTTGCCCATTAATGCATTATGTTTCATATTCCAGACACTAGTCTAAAACACTTTGGCCAATTGGCTTTAATAGAAATATCAGTCATTAGCTCCAAGTTACATTGTCCCATCCCATATTTTTATCCTAACAGATTTTCCTAACAATTTATTTACCTTCATTCACAAAATAGATTTTTCTTTGGACTAAAGAAAGAGAGCCTTGTGATATTAGTAAGGAAGGGCCCCTGGAGTTGATTCCTCTTGCTCAGTGTCCAATTTCTGTTACCTCTGAATTGCTTTCTCTAAACATGGGCCACAGTTGGACAAATACATCAGTTCACTTAAATGCAGAAGTCTGAAATGCTGCCTCAATACACATTAAGACAATAACCTTTTTGCACTTACAGTATTCACTGATATTTTGTTTCCTCTCTAGGCATCTGCTTTGCTACCCTATACTTCCAGCATCACTTCTTTTGCAGGTTATCACTGACTCTCAGAGTGGAAGAAGGACATGTTGATAATGTAAAAAGAGAGCTAAATTGTATACAGTGGTGGAGTTTTGTTTGCGGTTCTCCCACATTGCTGAAAGGATATAGAGATCCCTCTTTACCAGATACAGATATGCTTGAAAAGTGAAAATGCCTAAATTCTGTTTAAAATTAATAGACTGTTTATCCAGAAAATTCTCCCAAATGGATTTCCTAGTTTCAGAGTTATGTCCAGAAATTAGCAATGTCAAATAAACTGACTGAGATGCTTCCAGAAATCTTAACTTCATCCCCCGTCCCAGACACTACAGTTAAATAGTTATGTACCCACCTGATTGAGCTATATTCATATTTAGATTAGCAGAATCCGAGAAAAGCAGCAAAAATCATGCATTCCTCACAAACAAAGGGAAGTGTAACAATATTTATCCTTACCTTTATCTGTAACAAGAACAAAGTGGAGCATACGTAAAATGGTGAGCAGGAGCATAACAAGGAAAGGAAGTGGTGTCATTGAGCACAAATTGATTGCCATTCTAAAGGTGATTAATCATTACCTGTTTAAATATCTAAACTGCTGCTAAGTATGATCACATAACCTGATTATAAGTTACAGACATCTGAATGCACAGGAGGTCTGGATACTTGCTGGACATGGTAGGAGCAGTAACTGCTCAATCTGATGTTCCAGTTAAGAAGGCTGAACTCCAAAACTCTTGAGTCTCTGCTGCTGGACCTCTGTAACGGAAACTTATCTGTAGAGTGTTAGCCCAGCTGCTTAGAGGAAACTTTGGCAAGAGCCTTCTATAGTTCCACTCTTCTGCCACTTCCTCAGCCCCAAACCACTATGCAATGGCCTGCAAGAGGGGAAACTCTGCCTAGAGGCTGTTGCTATCAGATAGGGTGAATGTCCTACCCTTGTGGTAGTGCCTTGGAGGATAGATTCTTATACAGGAAATAAACATCCTCTGACCTTACACAGGATAGTATGAAGGGCAGACAAGTGTTGGTGATGTTCTTGAAATAGAAACAATCCATATAGGTCAACAACCCTCATTAGTGAAAGGGGACACTTTTTCCCCACTGTTCACAATATTTAAGGATGGGGAGCAATGTGATAGAATCATATGAATAAGTAAGAGCCATATTTCTGGAGAACCAAGAGAAATAGTTGACTGGCGTTGACTACCATCTTTAGGAAATTTGAAGTGAAGATGCTCGATCACTAGAGGTTTTCAAGAAAAGATTGGACAACAATTTGTTTGGGATGGAATAAGGACTCCTGTCTTGGGCAGAGGATTGGACTAGAAGACCTCCAAGATGCCTTCCAGCCCTATGATTCTATGAAGAGGAGACCCCAGTCAAGTCTATCCTCTATGCTATTCATTAACACATTACTTTTATTACTTTGGTTGTTATTGTTGCTTTCATATTTAAGTAAGGATATAAACTGCTGTCGTTGTCATCGTCATCATCATGGTCATTGTCATCATCATCATTGCAGTAGAAAAGTGATGGGGGGACATCATCCCCCATATCCCATCACAACAGATACCTCAAGACCTGAATGCAAAGACAAATTTTAGAGACCTTGGGGGGGAGAAAAGGGTCACAATAGAGGTAATGTTTCCTCTTCCTATGTTCTGTGAAAAACACAGTCTCAAGCCATATTGTTATTTAAGAGTAGCGACCAATTTCCACCTTAATTTATTATGTGTTTGGTTGACGTCTTTCCTTCAGAAATTCAAGGTGATATATGTAGCACTCTCTCCTCCAATTTTATTCCACAATGACAATCCTGTAAGATAGGTTGGACTAAGATAGAAGGCCCAAAGTCTCCCAGGGAGTGTCTACAGACAAGAGTCTTCCCAGTCCTAATGTAATACTTTAAACCAGCGTTTCTCAACCTTGGCAACATTAATACGCATGAACTTCAACTTCCAGAATTCCCCAGCCATCCTACATTATACACTGCCTGTGAAAGAAGACAGCGGGGATTGATAATCTTTAGTTGTCTAGGAATCAAATGTTTTATAGAGAATGAAGACCTTGAGGGTCAGGGATGGTTATGTCACACATGTGCCCAGGCCAGGATTTTCAATTTTAACCTGGATTTGTAGGTTTTTCATTTTAAGTCACTATCTCATTAATTTTAAACAATTTTGATTGCAGGAAACTTTGAAGACTGCATACAATGATTCACATACAAATGCTTTATAGAATTCCAAGTGTGTATTGTTTGAGCAGAGAAGCAGGAGGCGGCATTAAATAAGGCTGTGCTAAACATTCAAATAGTGTTCTTAAGTATATTAGTGCTTTCACTCTTGATAGATTCAGACAGACCCAATCTTCAGAGGGTTCCTGCAGGCTTTGAAAATTCTCCCTGGCTCTCTGCCCCTTTGTATGCATATACAACATTTTTTTACCAGCAGTCATAGTGAAAGTCTCTGTGTGCATATCCATACGAGGAAACAAATGGAATGAGGAAAAAGTGGCATCAGCTTTCCAAAGGACATGGTTATTTCAATGCTTTGAAGATGACTCGCTATCTCATATACATGTTTTACAAAACTCTGTTCCAAATGCTTTGCACAATCCTAGTTCTTAACCTTACTCCAAGCTTCAAGATGCATCTGCTATTTTTTCCCCTGCAGTTTCCCTTCATGACTCCTGGCCCCCTCCTTCAATTGTATTTAAACCTAAGAATGTACCCTCAAGAAGCCAAAGGAACTTTTCTAACAGTATCCTGCAATTAATTACATTATACAGTGTCAGAATTTCTATTGCCTCCTAATTGAGCCTTGTCATTTCCAACGTTTCGTTATGGAAAAAAAAAATCCTTATTAAACAGATTTCACTTCACTACAAAGAATATCAGCTCTGTGCTGCAGTTTTCATTGATTCAGCACATCCTTATCCGAATGCCCAACAACAAAAAGCTTTAGTCAATGATAGTAGAAAATACATGGAGGTAAATATGCTAAACAAGGCTAGGCATTTCCCTGGGTTTAATGAAGAAGCTACAATCTTCATTCTTAACTTGAAAAAAGTAACCATGCAAATACAACTGGTTTCAGATTTCTCAGAAAAGAAGAATAATTATCAAACATGTTATACTGAAATACTGTTATGACTCTACTGCCTTTCTACCCTGAATGCAGGTGATTTGCAGAAGATCAAAGTTAATATGCAAAGTTCAAATTACTATATACTATATGGACTACCTTTAGGGGTACCCCATGACCACCTCTCTAGAATACAATTCTCTGATGAAGAAAGAAAGTGAGAGACTCTATTCCCTTTCCAAATAGAGACTTTATTCTTTTTCCAAGTAGAGTGACACAGAGTGACTATATATTCCTTTTCCAAATAAATGCTTGGCTTCAGCACTAACATGGTTCATGACCTATCTCTCTCATGACAAAGTAATCAGGTGAGACTCATATGGTCATTTTGTACTCAGTGCTACTTTATCTCTGCTTTAACACTTTAAAAATGGTATATGAATATTTTAAATATATAAAATATACCAAAAGGTTTAGCCCATTCTATGTCCAAAGTCACTCTAATATCAGAATATTTCATGCCAGTTATGCTGTGATATTTCACACAAAGAATGTCTTCAAACTAATCAGTGCCCCTCAAAGTTTCTTCATGTCAGGTTCCTATTATAGAATTTCTGTCTTGTAGAAAATATAGTGACCTAGCCATTCTTTTAATCAACAAATTATTTAACTTCTTGCATTATCTTCACAGAAGACAAATAGGAAGGCTGAGGGCATGAGATGGAATGACTGATAAGTTTATTTTTCTTTCTCTGGAGAGGATAAATCGATTTTATAAATTTGAGTTTTGTGTGTATTTAGATACTATATGAGAGAGCAGCAAACATCGACAAGGCTGCTGGAGAACACTAACAAGTATAGTCAACCTGTCCTAGAAACTTCCTTGACATTCCTACATTCATTCCTCCACAGGCATTATTGTCAAATATATAAGTAGAGATATCAAAAAAAAAAAAAAAAAACTTCAAAGATTTTTAATCTTACTTATGTAAATTTAGTAATGAATGAGCTGCTCATATTGAAATGTACTAAGTCCTATTAAGGATAAGTATCATGAGAAAGAAAAAAAGTAATTTGAAGTTAGGCCTTAGGCAAATTAACTAGACATAGTTTTTCTTTATAGATAAAAATAGTATTGTGTTTCTGTTTAAATATTGATGAATTGATTATGTGCCATTAAATTGGTGTCTACTCTTAGCAGTCTCATAAATTTTCTTCATAATGATCTATCCCTGGGATAATTTGAGTATTAGAAGTATATTTCTAAATGATCACCTATAGAAAAAAATAAATTTCAAACTGAATACATTAGCACCTCTTTTGTTCTCCTTTTTGGTGAGGCATTTTCTTCCTGTTGGTCATTTTTTAAAGTGGAGAAACGGTCACATTTATGTGGTTTATATGCCTGGCAAACATTTGGGGCCATATGTATACACACTACTACTAGGAGTAGCAGTTATATTTATAGTTGTGCTCATCTTTTAATACCAATGAATTATTTTTACTTGTAATTTATATCCATGTTGCCACCAATGGCCAAAATTGAGCCATTCTTTCCTGTAAGAATTTGGGTGTCTTTGGCCTGCCTTCACTTGCCCTAAAGATAGCACAAATATGTGCTAGAACCATATTGATTCTTTATATCATGACATTGTCTCCATTCATCCCCACTTAGTGCATATGACAGGCTACTTGGCCTTCCCATTTTCATACCTCATAGTTCTTTATCCAAAGCATCCCTTTTCATCTCAGTTCAGGTTTCTCCAATTTTGTTCCTTACTGTATCTGTTGAGTCCTCAGCTTAATGGCGAATAATCACAGAGCATCTCGTAGTGTCAAGAAGCCTTTATTGTTGTTTCTTCAGCTCCGTTATAGCTCTGAGGCACACAGGCCTCTCTACCTCTCTTAAGAACACTTCCCAGGACCAAATAGCAACATTTGGCGCGCTCGCGCCTCACGCATGCGTGCGAAGCCGGCGCCAGCCTGTCTGGTCCCGGGCAGCTTGCCTTTGCAGGCTCAGGACACAACACCCCTCCCCCCTGGCTAAGACTAATAAACTATATGAATAGTTACACGCGACCTCAACACAAGTGTGGTGTGCCAACCCATGCTCCAATGGTACTGGGCTATTGTTCTGGGCATTAATACCAATGCCCATATTTCCATTGCTTCCAACAGCAGACACCCTCTCACTGTTTCTGCTTTGCCAGCAGAGTTACAAAGTCCTCAAGGTACTTAGGAGATCTCTTGACTCTCTGTGACCTCCTTAGACCCTGAGAATCCCCAATTCCATTTTGCCCAGAGGATGACATGAATTTGCCCTCTCTTTCAGACCCTGGTGGTCCCCATGGACCGTGCCCCGTTGCCTGGTCTGCTTGCTTGCCCACCGGGCTCGTAAGACCAGGACTTTGTTCTCCCAATAACCTGGTTGACCTGCCTAGTTGCAGGCTCTCTGGCCTCTCTATAAAACTGCCACTCTTAGGCAACTCTGTAGTGCCTCCCAGGCCCACACTGGACCTATCAAGGGGCTGCATTCCTTCGCTCCCCAGTCCCGTAATGGGACTGTCTGGGGTTTCAGTATTTCCCCAAAACTCAGTTGCCCCCCCCATCTGTGCCGGAGGTGTCAGAATTGGGATGTGCCTCTCCGGCCACCTCCCTGTGTGAATACCTCCTTCTGGAAACAGTAGCAGTACTGGGCCAACTAGACTGGTTTTGTGCCAGCTCTCTTACAATGTTTGAGTTATTAGGATGCTCCCGGTTATTCTCCCTGACTGGAGTGCTGAATGGTATTGGTGAATGATGAGTATGCCCCCTGGGTGA